TTACTGAACATTCCTCTTCCTCTTCCTTAATAGCATTATTAACCTTTCCTGCATAACATTCTAAGTACATTATTATGACAAATATCCCTTTAAAAACAAAACTCGCTATTTAAGGAAATGATAATCAGCTGAAAGAAAGCCAATTAGTTACATGCTGTTAGTTTTGTTCCCCGTGCGACATATTTCCTTGATGTCTGCAGAAGCAGCTTATTCATTAGAAGTAAATTAGACAAATGGCACCTTCATTTCTTCTTTTTACTTTTGTAATGTGAGGTCTCTTCTTTGAATCTATTTTAAATGTTTCTCAGCTCACCAATCAAGTTACTGCAAATCTGAGTTGATTCTTCAACCTTTTAGAATTTCTCATAAATCCCTTTCACGGATATTCCTTGTAGATTTCATTGGTTTTCTTCCACTAATATCTAGCTCTACACTCTAGAGGGATGAGATTTGTGCTTGATAGGGCACCTTGTTAAGAATGGTCAGAGGCAGTTGCTGGTTGGTTCTGTACTTTAAGTCTAATACCCAGGGTGCTTATTGGGCTTATCACCTTGTCTTCAGAGGACTAGCAACATGAAGCCTGATATGGCATCAAAATATTACAATCATAACATGCAAAGGTGCTGCTCATTGGTTATGCTTTAAGAAACAACCCAGTCTCTTAGATGTAATACTGTTGGCTGCCTGAGACTTTTCTTGAGCTATGTAGGGAATAGTTTTCTGTTATATTCCTGGAGCTACTGCCTTCTCTATTAATGCATCCTGAGAATGTAGACTTTGAAAACAGCAAGTAAGCATGGCAGACATGTTCTAGAATATCATCCATGCCTCTGCTCTGACTCATATGCATATTTAGCTTCTCTATTTTCCATTTAGAAAATAGACTTTCTGGATCTTAGAGTAATTTGACCTCTGAGTGCCTGACATTAGTTTAATAAAAGATCCTATTCCTCACTTGTCAAAAGCAGCTTGAACAGAAATGCATTTTGAAAGCACAATATTGGTAGCTTTAGGTAGATAGCAATGACAGTCATCCACAATAATGCAAGGGCACTTAGCTAAAAATTGGTGACTATAAAGTTTTAATGTTCTTCTCTCTTGGTTGTTTTTTTTTTTTTTTTTTTTTTTTGTCTAAAAGCAAGTATAATAGAGATCATTGTATCTTAGGAGATGAAAATGGAGATGTACATAATTCACACCCAAGGTCATCCATTCATGTGGCTTTTTAAAAGAAGTCTTTATTTTGTGCTTTTACATGGTTTCTCTTCCTTTCATCCTCATCTTCAAAGCATGCTTTAAGTTTGGGTAGTATCCATGACAAAAGCAGGTAGAAGATTTAATTGGCTCCTTTTCTGAAGCTGAGATAAAATTAAGAGGAAGTGGGTGCTATATATTGTCATGGTTTATATATATGTGTGTGTGTGTGTATAATCATGGGGATAAAGATTGTATACATGCTTGGAACATTTGTTGGAGTTACTAAGTTTAAGACACTCTACAAAGATTTTCTTACTTTCTTATACTTTTGACTGCTTTTCTGGTATTGACAATATTGGCTTGAGAGTCTGGCTAATTATGATGACTAGTTATGTAACAAACTCGCTTACTGGAAGGTTTTATTGTGTTATCTAGAATCTTATTTTGTATCTTAGAACAGTGGCATTTACCCTTTCTGTGTTTTGAAGATTGTGAAGATATTCAGAGAAATGTATACCAGATCCATTACGGAAGTCAGGAGATTCTTATCTACAAATATTAATGTTCTTCATACTTAAACACAAGTTTGTAAGAAGAACTCAGTATGGTTTTTATTTTAACATATATGATCAATGTTGTTATTTTCAAAGAATAAAGTCTAGGAACTATTGTAGATTTTATGTGTTAGATTGTGTGTGTGTATGTGAGATATACTTGGTCCTACAGTGATAATGAGTAGGATTTAGGAAAACGGTCCAAGATTTGAAACCAATTCTAGCTAGTTGTTTTAATGAATTTCCTTCAATTCAGTAGGTTAGTATCATTACATGCCTTTATCTTTAGAAATAAAACCCTTACACTAGCATTTGTGCTTATATCCCTCATTCTTTGAGATAAGAAGCAGGATAATGCTTAGGGAAATAAGTAAGGGAGAAAGACAAATATAGAATGATGTGGAATATAGAGAAACCTAACAAAGAGTCAGTTAAAAGCAAATCAATTATGAACTCTGTGAACATCTGCCTGCAAAACCGAGGCCATCTGAATGAGAAGGTGACAAGTAGGAAGTGGAAGAGGGCCCAAGGAAACATGATAGGGATTGTTGGGTTCTGGTGGTGGGGAGAGTGTGAAATTATAGATATGTAGAAGTCAGAATCTCTAACTCCCAGAGCAGATACAAAGATGTGAACCAACTTTATCTCAACACACATATTTTGGAAAACACACAAACAAGAAGCAGGATTCTAGCCTTTAAAATAATTGATTTTTTTCTAGTGCATTGAAAATGGAACACTACACTCTGAGTTTATTTAATTTTATATAATATCCCTTCACCCTATTCACACATTCTTGCTATAAATTTCAAAACAGAACTTAAATGAGAATCTGGCTTGTTAAAATTGATTTTCATTCATTGCCAATGTTTATGCTATAGACTTTGAAAAGGAAGCTAGCTAAAAATGATGGTATCGTAACATTTAATATAGAAATGAAATATATTTAATCTTCTAGGGAATTTTAATTGTAATTTCCATATTAGATGATGACAAGTGTGTGGTTAATATCATTGACTTTGCAGTAAGTAGCAGAATGAAAAAAAAAAAAAGACTTCTAGTGACATTTTAGTTTGCTTCAAGAGAGGTGACATCAATGTATAGTGCATTTTGCTCCTCTCTGTTACTCAATTTCAAATCATTTTAAGTACTTCCCGCAGCTCTGGTAATCATCTAGCTTGCTCTGCTGCCCGGAGATGCTGAGGATGTGATGTCTAGCAGTGCTGGGAGAGCCTGCTTTCTTCTTAATATTTCTGAGCAAATGCTCCCATATTCCCAACAATTCCACTATGACCAAGTTGAATTTTCTATCCAGGTACTGCTGACTGTTACAGCGATGTCTCTCCCCTTTTCATTACCATCCCTCATTGTGGAAATAAAACACTAAGAGTTTTTTCCTTAAAACTACAGGCAATTTCTGCAAAATGCTTTATTTCATATCCATGTTATTGCATTGAAGTGACAGGAAAGTAGGCAAAACAGTTTTCCCCTAGATGAGACATGTATATGATGATAAAACTGAGATGGGAATTTGACTTCTGTGATGTCAGAAAAACCAAGATAAGAGTCAATATACACCACCAGGGAACAGGAACAGCATGTGTGGGAAACACGACGCAATGGAAAGAAAATAGTGGGGATGAGCTTTGTTCTTTTCTTACTGCTCAGACTCTGAGGATTGTTCGCAAAATGAGACTTGGCTATAGTGAGTTACAACCAATTTTCAGGAACACATAACTGAAACACAGGAGAGTAGAAAATTCATAGTAGTGCAAAAAAAAAAAAAGGGAAAGAATACAGAAAAATAAAATGTTTTTGAGTTAAAAATACTTCCAGCTGTAATGTAATTCTAAAAATACAAGGCTGAAAAAAAAAATGTAAAGAAGTCAGAAAAAATACTTCTTATAAACAACTCTCATTAGCATTTTAGTATGTTTTGTTCCGTATTTTGCTGTCCTTTTTATTAGCATATATTCCTTAAATATAATTTTGTAGCTGCCAGTGGCTTTTTATTGCATTGTAAGCATTTCTCATAAAAAATCTTTATAAATACTGCATGCAATGTTTATATGATGTCATCATTTTCATCAGTGTGTCATAGTTCACTTTCTCATTAAATCTTATATTATTTGATTTAGGGTGCTTACAGTCCTTTGTTAAATAAATGACATGATAATTTTGTAAATAGTTATCAACATGGTACATAATTCACATGATTCGATTTCTAGATCTGGAAGTCAGATTTTTTTTTTTTTTTAATTATTTGTTCATACAGAACTGGGGTACAGGCCAGAGGCTCAGGGGCGATGAGAGACTTCACCAGAGACAGAGTGGGGAGCAGAACAGGCAGATCGACGACGAAGCACACTGCTGAGGGGAGCATTGGGCGGGTCAGGAGAGGTCTGCCACACCATGTGGTCACCTCCTGGGCAGGCGGGAATCAAACTCATGCGGAAGCGGCTTTAGATTGCCAGTGCTGTGCTTTAACCTGCTGCACCGCCAGGGAGGGCCTGGAAGTCAGATTTTTAAGGAGAGTAAATGTTAGGAACATTTAAGAATAGGACACTGAAAAAGCCTCTAACTTCTATCTGTTTATCCTGTGTGTCTTTAAGTCTACATATTTCTTTGAAGAAATTATTTTCTTTGTTATGACTTTTGCAGACCTCTTGACCCTTTTTTATGCAAATTGTTAAGTTTGAAGTAAGGCTGGGCACAGTATCTGGCTTTAGAAAGTCACTTTGCCATTTCTTTCTGTTTCTTGCCAGACATTCCAACTCAAGGCTCTATCTGTCTTTTTAAAATTTCCTAGAGTTTCTCTTAAATGTCACTAATTTTAATAGCTTAGCAGCAGCAGTACTGCTTTCTGGCAGTGTCCTGATAGCAGCATCAAAGCAAAGAGCTAAAATTTTACTCACTTTGATTGATGAGCTCATTTTGTTACAGAGGACAAATTGGATTTTTTTTTTTTTACACTGGTAATAAAAATTAATGTGTGATGTTGCTTTTTGGATGTTATTGGATCTCTTCCATAACACAGATTTCAGCAGTAAAAGCAGATAACTTGGCCAGAAAGTTACTCCCCACCCTTTAAATCGCCCTCAGAAGTACAAGGTGCTCTCCTAATTATGTCACCTGTGCGTGTGTGTATTGGAAATGGGCTTGAGGGTTTATGGGGAAAAGCAGTGGCAGCAGTGTAATTGTTTGTATTCTAATTTTCCATCTAATTGTGATGTTTATTTTTCATTTCAGCACCTCCAAGGTTTACACGAACTCCTGTTGACCAGACTGGGGTCTCTGGTGGGGTTGCTTCTTTCATTTGTCAAGCTACTGGAGACCCAAGACCAAAAATTGTCTGGAACAAAAAAGGGAAGAAAGTCAGCAATCAGAGATTTGAGGTATTAGGTCCATTGTTCTGTTTCTCTGGGGGAAGAATGCATCCACTGTATCTTTGTTGTCTGTTACTTGCTTGTTTTCATGCTAAGATGTCATAGTTATTCAGATATGGCATTCTTTATGATATATGTCATGGAAAATTTACCTCTAAATGATTTTTTTTAAAGAAAGGATTTGAGGCTTCAGTGTCTGGATCAGTGTCTGATTTAGTCTCTACTTCTACTAGAGATCAGATAGTATTCCCAGCTTCTGTTAACTTCACCATTTAAACACCTCCACTTAAGGTTGTAGGTTAAAGCCTCACATGCTCGCATGACCTAGGTAAGAAGATGAGTGTAAGCTTCCTATTCCATTGACTTCTGTTGAATTACATGTTCATCCCTGAACTAGTCTGTGTGAAAGCTGAATGGTATGGGCTAATTTATTTAATAAAATGCAGCCCTGTTGGCTATGAAGAAAATCAGTTTAGCCTAACCCCATGGCTTGGATTTTGGGAGCAGTATTATCTCAAAGAAAATTCAACTTCATATTACTAGAGAGAAGGGTATGGCTCCTGGATATCAAATGAGTATTTTCATTACTCCTTATGCCAGGGTTTTGTAAGTAGCATAAATTAGAATGAGAACTTTCCTCGTGTTGTTAGCGCAAAATACACAAAATATGCTCTCGAGGAAACGTACCCTGGCCACATTGACATTAAACAAATTAAAAAAAAAAATCAGTCTTCTTTATTACATAAGTTCAGTGTTTTGATGGTGATGAAACAAAGTTCAGGTGTTATTTTAGCTATTTGTAATGAGGCTTATGGTTACAAATTAAGTTATTCTGGAAAGGAATTATAAGCTGCACAGGAAAAGATAAGAACAAACATACTATGTCATGCCTATAATACATGACATTATGAAGATAGCTAGATATTTTGAGGCTATTGAGGTCTCCAACCTGTGCCAAATTGCAAAATTCAATTCCACTTACCTGAATTTTTAATCTGTCTCACAGACTAATTCAGTTTGGCAAATTAAAAGTAATTCTTTGTTAGAAAATACCTAGGAACCAAAAAATTTAGTAAGTTTGATTATACTCATTTTTCACTTGGTCTCTAGTACAATAAATGTCTTAAATGCCTAGGAAAAAGTTGAACTTTGAGCTGTAGTTTAGAAATGATAAATTTAAAATTAAATCCTGATAGTGATAAATATAAAAAATTATATCTTAAATAATCTTTAGGGACTATTTGCTATATCATGTAGAAAATACTGTGCACACACATCTTTGGTGCACATTATTTTTTCTTTAATGATATTGAATATATTTGTTGAAGTAGCGCTTGAGATCATGCTTGCTAGTGATGATGTCTTCTTCACTACTTGCACAAACATTGTAATAGTAAACATTTACATTTCAAAGCATGAGATCTGCTGAGTGTATAGATATAGTTCTTTGTGGGAGTCAAATATATTTAAGGACAGTTTATTACTTTCACACAAAGCACCTAGTCAAATTATATCTAGTTTTGTGTTGAGATTTTAATAGTTTTAATAGTATGTATGTAATTAAAATATTATGCATCCAAGAACTGGGGTATTGGGTACAGGCCAGAGGTGTGGGGCGGTGAGAGGATTCACCAGAGAAAGAGTGGAGAACAGAACATGAAGATTGACTGAGTTACACTGCTGAGGGGAGCAGGAGACACGAGACAGGCGAGGTTTCCCACACCATGTGGGTCACCTCCCTGTCCAAGGATGGAATTCATGCTACAGTTGTTTCAGATAGCTTCATAGTGCTGTTGACTTCACTAATTTTTAAGGCCCATGCTAACAGTGGGTGAAACAGATTTTATTCCCTCTTTTATCTCCAGTACCTTATAAAACTGCCCATAGTCAGCACAAAATCCACATGGGGTATTCACTAAGTGTTTCAGATTGGAAATTATGGAATTAACTTCTGATGTGTGAACTACAGTTTGTTGTATGAAGATAAATTTTAATTTCAGGAAATGTTTTGAAGTGTCAGCATGTGACGAACTGTAACACTGAAAATTTAAAGAGGTACTAGGAGGTCTAAACCTTTCTCTGCAACAAGCTATGGGATATGCTCACATAGCTATATATTTAAATTATATATGACAAGACTTCGGCAAGTATGAAACTTTTCTTGTTCCAAGATGCATAATAAAGTCCTTCTCAGAGATGAAAATAAACTGTGGTGCCTTCAGAAGTGGGACATTTTAGCTAGTTTTGTGAATTCAGAACCTCAATGAAATGTCCAAAGGATCTGAAGTAGATATTTTAAAACCATTCCTTCCTTACAGAAATTTACATGCACACACACCACACAAAATTGAGCATCCCTCATAAATACATTCATATGGCATTATCAATTTTTTTCACATTTTAGGCACCTAAAGTAATATTTATGATGGAATGCAAAATGACAAAAAGCGCACAGTATCATAGTGAACAGCTGAAAAAGCACATGGTATTGCTAGAGAAGACAGGAGGAGGACTCCATACTTACAAGTATCATTATCATCACCATTACCATCATCACCATCATCACCATCATCATATTATAAGCATACTACTTGAATTAGCTGACATAGGATTAGTAGTGCTGCTAAACTGTTTCAGAGTAGAGTTCATAATGATAGTGAACTCAGGCTTACTGCGTAAGACATTAATTTTCTGCCTGGTGAAGCACTCCTCCATTTTACAGCAAAAAGTGCTTTAAAAATGCAGAAAATGCTAAGCTAGAACAAATACTAGAATGATTTATGTTAAAATTAATGTGCACCATCAGGCTTCTTGGGTTGTGAAAGCCGTCTCGTTGGCTGCCTAAGTACTAGATTTATGCAGTTTCTCTTCATGGTTTGTACATCTACACTGTTCAGGATGAGACACTTTACACCAGAAGAGCTACTATAGAGCATGCTTTAACTCTTTAGTGTATGGTTCAATTATTGAATGGATCTACATGTGCTTATGCACTGTTGGAGACAGGATAATTTGGGCAGTTTATCCAACATAGTAGCAAGTCTCTTACAAAATGAATAGGGTCAAATTTCCCTAGAAGTACATGCTGGAATTTTTTCATGTGCAAGTAAGTCTTAGATGGTTTCCAGTAGAGACTAGAATCTACATTTCTGCGTGTAGTTCTATGCCTTTCCCATTGTTCATTTGAAGATTCATTAAATTAGACTATTCTACTTCATATTTTGGTCCAAATTTAATTTCATAATGCTGCTGAATTTATTCTGAGCCTTTTGACTTAATTACCACTGCATTAAGAGGTTTAGCTGAGAGGTGGACAATTGTAACAACACCTGTGACAGCTATTGTTTCCTCTAATAGGTAATAGAGTTTGATGATGGATCTGGATCAGTTCTCAGAATACAACCGTTACGGACTCCAAGGGATGAGGCCATTTATGAATGTGTGGCCTCGAATAATGTGGGAGAAATAAGTGTATCCACCAGACTCACAGTTTTACGTGGTAAGTGCTCAAGCATAAGGTTGTTGCTTGTGTCATTGTTGAAATTAAAGTCCCAGGTGTTCTGTAGGATTTTAGAAAAGACTGCCAAGGCACGAAAGTGGGAATTGAATTGAAAAAAGAGTATATAAGGATTAAACTTCTAAGTAGATAGTGGACACCTCTCATTGTGGACCTTAAACACTAAACAGGGAGAGACAGGAATATCCCAGGTAAGGGCTCATTTTGAATGGCTAAGTACTAAAAGAGGTTGTATTACTCTTTAACATATTAGCATAATTTGTGCCTGGATTTTTCACATGTGGGTCAGCAAGTATTGTGTATAAACAAACTAAAGCTGTCATCAGTGTTTACAAAATTAAAGGAGCACATTCTATACTAAAGATGAATTCTTGTTAAGCAGAGGAATCAAGAATTGGAAAGGCGTGACTTTTCTTTATGTCAAAAATGTGTTTTTATTTTAGCTTTTTATATTTCTTGTACTAACATTTATTGCTGAAAAGTGGATAGAGACTGTGTTTCTTCTTCTGTTCCTGACTACGTAGCTTATGAAATTTGAACAATGCCTGGGGTCACTTGCGGATCTCTAGTACAGTGTGTCTATTTTCTAGTCTTTGGCTAGAATGACAGTGCTGGAGAATGAAGGCTAGTAATTAATGGCACTCTGCTGTGTATCTGTGATTCCAGTCTCTTGTGGAGAGATAAGAACATAGCCTGATTGGGCTTTCTTAGTAGGTGGCATTTCCAGACCCACACATTTGTGCATTTACCTCTTTCTCTGTCACATACAGTTGTACTGTTTGTGTTAATTTGTTCTGCTTTGGGCTCATTTTGCCTGCTTCTAGAACTTTAAGAGAGTAGAATTTCAGATGAAAAGAAATAGGGGAAAAAAAGGAACAAAATTTAATAACCCCAGAGTAATACACACACACACACAAACACATACATACATACA